TTTCCATAACTAACGTCAACTACTGTCCTACTTTGGTAAGATTGAAATTAATGTCTTTGACTGTCTTTAGTAGGTGTCTCCTGTGAGAAAGTTAGAATACCGTCCAACTGTCTAAAGATGCAGTCTTTAGCCTAACTGGTTGTTACTGACTCAGCGATGCTCGCAGACATTTACGCACTGTGTTGGGAATATGTATGTATATAGTTTAGAGTTGGATACAGATTTTATCTTTTTGTGGTGTGATTTTTGATTTTTAGAGAATGTTTTGAAATAAAAGTCAAATTGCATTTAACCTGTGCGTTTTTTTTATTATAAAAAGAAAAGGTTTTCCACATATGCAAAAAGTACCCTTTTTTCCCCCTGGAGCACTTGCCCCCCAAAATGTCTGTGCACGCCACTGTGTACAGTCATTTTGGGGCTACTTTAGAAATGACGGGATCAGTATGAATACCAAGTGAAATCGTTCACTTTAACCAGTAATGTCGAACAATTGATCACTGGTAAATGTAGTATGTATAAATATTTAGCAAATGCACGTATACCTTCCTGTACTTCTTGTACTTTTCCCTCTTTTTTCTCTTCTTCTCTTCTTTTGCTCTCTCCCTTGCTTCGTCTTCTTCTACCAAAGGCTCGTATCTCTCCGGTAAAAAAGCAAAATGTATTTCTCTCGCACATCTGTCTCTTTCCCTTACTCTGCTTCCCACCAGTAAATGCTGCCTTTGGCAGTCGAGCGGAGCGCCGCTGTTCTCACCGTCTACCTGCTGCAGGTACCCGGCCTCGCCAGGCTGCCTGTCCCGGGGCTCGATGTTTTCAAACATGCTGGTTATGGCTCCCCATATTGGCTTCGGTTTCATGGTTTATTTAGTATTTTTTGTTCGCCGTGAAAATATGAAAATGTTAGAGTAAGATTCCAGCGTGCAACCCGGTCACACCAAACAATGACAGTGATTCATGCAACGCAGTGCCGGATTTCAAAGAGGAAACTGCTGATCCTAAAAGGGCTGATCTTCTTCCCTTAAAGCGGTATGGCAGGCAACTGTGAATCCTTGTCATTTTGCTATACGACACATCGATTACTTTGCTGATATTACACTCGATTTAAATAGCAGTTACTCTCCTTTTTCTATAAGCACAAGCACATCAATGGGACATCCTGTCCGGAGAAGCTTGTTTTGTTTTTAATGATTAATGGTTAATTTCCTCACTCAATACCGGAATTCAACTGTGTCAAGGCTATCAGATGGGATTTAGCAGGTTAGCAGGAGAGGGGGGATTGGGGGGGGGAGGGGGGGGGGGGGGGGGGGGGGGCATGGGTGATTACCACCACTCACACCATCCAGGTGTCTATTGGCCACATACTCACTTCATTTCAGGCCCCAAAGTTTTTGAGTCGGGCCCCAGAAAGAACAAACCCACCCCTGGTTCTGACGAGTTTGTCAGGTATTTTGGAGATTTGGACTTCCTATGAAGCTCCCATCCCCTTAGCTACATCGCCTCCTTTCTGATGGACGTGGAACTGCAGTGGCTGAATAAGAGGGACAAAACGGGTTGCCAGTCACAGACTCTATTTATGGAATGGGATGCGGCATAGGGCAGTGTGGTGCCGCAGTGGTTAGCCAGTTCCTGGCTTCGGTCCCTAATCCTTTCTGTGTGGAGTTTGCACGCACTCCCTGTGTTCATGTGGGTTTTCGCCAGAGGCTCCGGTTTCCTCCCACGGTCCAAAAACATGCAGGATAGGTTGATTGGTGAGGCTAAATTGGCCCTGTGTGAGTGTGTGTGAGTGTGTGTGCCCTGCGGTGTGTTGGCGATTGCCCAGGGTTGGTTCCTGCCTGTGCCCATTGTTCCCAGGATAGGCTCCGGTCCCCCCCGAGACCCCAGTTGGGATTAAGTGGCTTCAGAAAATGGATGGATGGGATGGGGCATAATAAGAAGGGAGATATTTTTATTTAAACATGACCAATATTTACCAAATAACTGACATTTAAAAGAACAGTATACAAAAAAAAATTTTTTTTTAGCAGTTCTTGTCTCAGGCAGGAATGACTTGTCACTGGTCCTGGGAGTCCTCCACCACATTCCTCCTGCCAAAGGGTAGGATGGTCTGGGTTCGATCAGGGTCTTTGAGGCGCAGAATCCGGATCAAGTTGTTGACTTGGAGGCTACTGGAAAACAAAAGGAAAGTTTTGCCAAACGATGCAGAAACACAGTGGTAATACTGTCATGGTCACTGCATGCTTGTCAGATGCTTTCACAGTTCACAACCAAACCTGGAATATGGTTGTCATTTGTATTTGGGAGCATGTTGGGGAAAATACATGGCCGTGATATTTTATCCCAGGATAAATCAGCTTTAGAGACCTGATTTTGCCTTTGTGCGGCAGAACAATACTGGACGCTAAAACAGGGCAATGTCTGGCTCTGCTGATTTGTACTTGTACTGGTGATTGGAAGGTCCAATCCTGGCTGACAGGGTGGAGCAATAGTTGGACCCATGAGCAAGTCCCTTAACTCAACTGGCTGCCTCTGCTCTCGGACCCTCACTTTCATGTTGGTTTGGACAAAAACGTCTGCTAAATAAATAAATGTAGGAAGCCCTGACCTTAGGCTTCACATTCAAATTTCTTTTCTCCAAGAAAAAGAGAGATTTCCCAAGTGACGTTTCAAGGTTTGTTAGATCTCAAATTCCCACTTGTCTTTATGAATAAAGGCAAAGCTGCACCCCAGTCTCCTGTTTATAGAAACTGTGCTTTCAAACACCATTGTGTTACTGCCCTCTTAACCCTGCTCAAACCGCCCTCTTTATTCTGTGTCTGGCCACAGAAAGTGACAGAAGCTTGCTTTGGGACAGATTAAGTCATTCTTCTGCGCAATTCATGTCAGGCACAAAAAGTTAACGTCCCAGAGGGTCGTTAATGTAGAGACAAGGTGCTGGTTCAGACCTACCACATGCTTTGGGGGGTAAGAAATATGAACTGCCTGTAGCGTTGGCTGGCTGCGATTTTCAGCATCATGTCCATAGAAATTCTTCGGTTGACCATGTCCTAAAAATATACATTAAAACAACAGCAAACGGCCAAACTTTAGTTAGAACAAGACAGTGTAGGAGAAGAAAAATGACAGCAAATGGTGAAATCAGGGTGACCCACAAAGACTGGGTTGCAGCTGGACTCTCACCATATAAACGTCAAACTCATCTAGGCAGCGGAAAGGAGCCTCGGCGATGGCCCATAAGGAGAGCACAAAGCAGACTGTAGAGAATGATCGCTCTCCCCCAGACAGGGAGCGCATGTCGCTCAACGGCGCTTTGTCGCCCTCTCCTGGTTGGACCTGAGATGACCACCAGAAAAACGTTCTTTTCAGCAGAATGATTAACAAAAGCCAACGTGAACAGTTTGAGGCAAACCCAAACATAGCGTGATACATCTGACAGCCAAACCATGCACTCATCTACCCATCACACTTATCCAGTAGAGGGAAAGAGAAACCTTAAGGCAGGACACAACCCGGAAGGGATCCCAGTCCGTAGGAGGGAACACACTCATACGCAATCACAGCTCAACAGGAACATGGTTGATAAATAACAGCTGCTGGTCTGTACCTGTGCACACATCACCTAACCAATGTACTGCACATTACTATATTGTTAATGCACTTTGCACTTTCAGTACTGTAATACTGTCAATTTACACATCCTAACCCTATATTTTCCCCACACTGCGTTACTTAAGTTCTACATATACTTATTCTTAAATCGCACTACCGTTTGCCCGATCCCCACACGCACCCCCAGCCCCCACACCTGAGGTATAAGAATTTCATTGTATTCCCTGGATACGTGTGACGAAAATGTCCTAGGTCTCCGATGCTAATTAATCATACTTCCAATTACTTAATATTCTTCTTGGCCAATAACAAAAAAAAGCATTTTTTGGTCCTCTTACCGAAATGGCCAATGTCTCATTTTTGTGGTTGAAAGTCATCTTCCCCATGTATCCTCGCTGAGACAGCATAGAATCAAAGTAATACTTACAGCGCACAGAGAGATACCTGAGGACATTCAGAAACACCAGTGGTCTGTGAGGAACCCATTTCACTGCTGTGCTCTTACAAATCAGGTCTCACAATTTAAAGAAATTAGCATGTTTTTTCCCCAATTGTTGCCATCCTACCATGTTAATTACATCAAACTGCTGTCAGACTGAGTGCAGGTTTACAAAGAATCAGACACTCACTACCAGTCAAAAGTTTTTCTGCACAGAGATTTTTACACTTGCATGTTACTCCTTAACATTTACTAAAAATACACTTAATATTCTTTGCTAACAAATTTACAGTTTGTTCACCATTTGAGTACCTTTATTAGCAAGAAAATGTCATATTTTGGATTCATCAAAATAACCTCCCCATCAATTATAACAGCAGAGGAAATCTGAGGCATTCTTCCTACGAGGGACATTAAATACTGCTGTGGTTCATGGGATGAAACAGATAACTAGTGCATTTAAAGTTAAAAGGACGGCTGAGAATTTGACCACACAACCAGTTAATAGGATGTTAGACATGCACTGTTACATACTTTTTTCATGTTATAAAGGACACTCATTTAATTTGACATATTTTCATTTACAGTTGTTCACTCAACTTTCCAATCTGCCATTAATTAAATAAATGGAAAAGTGGTGAAAACCTGTGTTTTGCAAAAACTTATGACTGGTTGTGTAAGTTCATAAACAAACAGACTATGAGAAAAATATATTCAACTACTATAAGCACATTCAACTGTAAGACGAAGATGGTGGTGGAAAGGAGACTAATGAACAGTAATAAAGGAGAACAAAAGAGCATTTCACAGACACGTCTGACGGAGGACCACAAAGGACCCCCCTTGTCAGGCTCTGACGGCTTCCCATGAGACGAACAAGCACTTACATTCTCATCTCAGTGTAGACTTTGTGTCGGCTGTTCATTATCTTCGCCATCAGGCCGATGAACTTCTTCAGGTTCTTCACCTGCATCACGATGTTCTTGTAGTTTTCCAGGGCCTCTTGGTATTGCCTGTGGAGAGTGTGGCCCTTGGTGAAAATCTATACTGAGCACTTAGAGCATTTAGATGCAGAAACGCTCAAAGTCAAACACTAACACCATTTTTTCTGGAACTGTAAAGGTTAGATTTACAGACCACCAAGCAAAGACAGGTATCAAAGGCGTCAGATAGGGAGCCGCAACATCCAGTGCAGTCCAGATGTTCCTCAGATGTTGGGTACCTTATGACCTCGTCTCGGTCCCCTTGCAGGTCTTGCTGGTTGCTGATCTTCTGCTTCAGCCGGTTTATCTCGCTGTCCAGACTCTTGGCTGTCCTCCTGACCTCCAAACGTTCAGGGCAAATCTCAGAAGCTTTCAGGATGGACGCCTATAGGGCACAAAGTTGGACATGTTACATTTCTTCGTAGTTTACACTCAACATCACGATGGGGGCGACCACAGCGAGCAGGTTTAATGCCTTAAGTACTAGATCATTCCCAATCCACCCTAAGACCAGTGGCCCATCCTGTCTACCTCTAGTTCCTTCTTTCTGACTCCCAGATCGGCCTTCAGCTTCTGAATCCCACCGATGTGTGCCTTTCGTTTCTCTTCGTAGTGCTTCTTGTGATGCTTGCATCGTTCCACATCCTGGTCACTTTTGCTCAGCTCTTCCTGTAGGCGGGACCGGACAGCACTCTGGTTACTAAAATCGTTTAGGCTCAGTAATAAAAGAGATTTGAACTGCCAACCCTTAGCATACACATCCATGTTCTTAACTGCTTTGCGCCCTGGCGTGTTATAACTTTAATATTCGACAAGGAAGTTCTTTTAAGGTATCAATCCATCCAGCCATGACAATGCAGCAGGGGGCCTGGAACCTATCGCAGGCCGAATAGTGCGCAAGGCAGGGATCCATCCTGGATGGGATGCCAGTATGGTCAGCCGTGGTCTGCCCACCTTAATGGGATCTGCTTCTTCTGCCACACTGCTGATGGCTTCCTTCTGCTGGCGATAGTTGTGTTCCGCCTCCTCAAATTCCTTCTTCAGCTTAGCCATCTTCTGATGGGCGACGTCTCTCTCCTGCCTCGCCGAGCTGATCTTCACTGAGATCTCCTGCAGCTCCTCCTCCTGATAGGTGGAGGGGGGGCATCAATGTGACCCATG